AAGAGACGACCTGACGTATGTTTAACTAGGGCTAACGCATGCGCAGAACTCTTGACACAAACAATATTAAATCTGTAGTTATTAAATTACAATAAATGTATTTAAGGATATCGCCCTAAAACTCCTACCCTACTATGTACTTAAGGTTATAAATATATCTATGAAATAAATTAATATTTCATTTCTTCTTTAACACAAGTACAATGAAAAAGTATGTAAAACAATGCTATTGCCTTGATTCTGTGGATTTTAAATCCTTTTTCAAAATTAAAATTTTTTAGAAGTTTACATTTAGTAAGAAAATGTCATTTGATTTCTGTGGAATATGAGATTTACGTAAAATAATACTAGTTTTCAGAAATTGTTATTTATACTTTATTCGTCACTCTCCGTTAACTCCTACAACTTTATTTATTAGATATAATTTTTTCTCGCCGGGGAAAGGCGTCAGCACCCGATCAATTATCAATTGACTAGGGCAATCCCTCCTTGCCTAGTAAAATATAAAAAGGCCTACCACAGTAAAACCTTTGTGTAACAATCCCCGCTCCTTTCCTTAGAATGGCTTCGGGTGGTAATAGTGGTGTAACCCAAAGTATATATATTATTGTTATGTATAAATTGCAAGTAACTTGTAAATAAATGATGGAGTGGTGCGAAAGAATAAATAGAATTAGTTGAATAATTTGTACTAGTAGGTAGTTAGGAGCCACTTAAATAAAATTATTTTCATTGCAAAATTTCACTTCTTCTATCACACAAGTACAATGAAATAGTATTTTAAACAATAGAATTGGCTTGATTCGGTGTATTTTAAACTTTTTTATTCAAACTTTACATTTGAAGGTTACATTTAGTAAGAAAATTTCATTTAATTTCCTTGGAAACATGTGGTTTACATTAAATAATGTTAATTTTCTGAAATTATTATAAATATATTTTTCGTCAATATACAACTGTTACTTTATACAAATTTATTTATTTGATTGGAGTGTCTGTGGCTCTAGTGCCCTCTTTCAGTCTCCACTGGCTTCTAATACTAGTGATGCGGCTGGAAAAGTGGCACTGGGATCTCCTGGAGTCTTGCTTTGCCTTCCACATGTGGGGGTAAAAGCCTGGCTCGGAGATTCCTGGGCGAATGTGTATATTGTATATAGGTATGATTGTGTTTAGGAGTTTCTATTTTATGTTATTTGCTTACTTTTTTTTTCTTTTATTTACTTCATTCATCGGTATTATTTATTTACTTTTTATATTTATATTTATTTCTCTATTATGTGTATATATTGTATGAATGAGAACTCTTAGCCCTAATACTTATAGCCCTCCAGCAGTGGCTGATTGTATTATTATTCAATAAATAGATTTATTTGATATATTTTTTTTCTGAAATTCTTCGCTATCCAACAATGTATTATACGTATACCTTCTGACTGTTATTTCTGTTCTATATCTGTATTGTTGATCTGTTCTATCCTTAAGAAGGTCTCCATGTATGAATGTGGCAATTACAGAGGCATAGCACATCTTCCGGTTGCCTATAAAATAATGACTAATATTCTGTTAAATCGGATATATCCATATTATAAAAACATAATAGGCGACCATCAAACAGGATTCAGGAGAGGGAGGAGTACTATAGACCAGATATACATCCTGAAACAAGTAATTGAAAAACGATGGGAAGTATATCAGGACGTACACGCATTATTTGTCGACGTCAAATCAGCCTATGACTCCGTGGACAGAAACTGTCTCTGGAAGATCATGACTGAGGTGGGTTGGTGGGCGGGGTAGCCGAATGGGCTAAAGCGTGTGCACTGCACCGCCGTTGCCTGGCAACCTGACATATGAATTAAAGATATAAAAATAGTCACGAGTTCGCATCCCGGTGCCGAGGGAGTCTTTTAAATCCCCGCCCACACCCCCTGGCCCGGGAAAATCCCGTATAGCCTTAACGGCGAGGAAGGGAAGGACCAAAAAAAAAAAAAAAAAAAAAAAAAAAAAAAAAAAAAAAAAAAAAAAAAAAAAAAAAAAAAAAAAAAAAATGACTGAGGTGGGTGTTCCCGGGAAATTAGTGAGGTTGGCAAAGGCGTGTACAAATGATCCTAAATGCAGGGTACTAATACAAGGAGAAGTATCTGAAGCCTTTGAAGTTTGAACGGATTTGAGGCAGGGAGATGGACTCAGGTCGTTGCTGTTCAACTTAGCACTAGAGAAATTAATAAGAATAACATCACGCGAAGATGGAGGGGTGCACGTTGGAATGAAACATAAAATCCTAGCATATGCCGATGACATAGCTGTCCTCGGAAGTAATCAAGATGATATTGAAAGACTCGCTCGGACTCTATTAAAAGAAGCAGATCAAATCGGATTACAGGTCAATGTAGATAAAACAAAATACATGATAGTTAGTCGAAACATCCACCTTAATAACATGATCTGCGTGGATTCTAAGTCATTCCCGAAAGTAGATAGATTCAAATACCTCGGCTCCACAATAACCTCAATAAATGATCAACTAACAGAGATAGGCCAGCGAATAAAAAGTGCGAACAGATCATTCTTCTTTCTTTCAAATGTACTGAAATCCAGCACCTTAACCCGTGGAGGAGAAAGAATAATAAAGATCTGCTGAAAGAAACAGGTCAGTCAATATCTCATGGCATGAAGGCAAGGAGGTTAAGATGGGCAGGACATGTAGCTCGTAGCAATCCATCATGACCCCTTTACACGGCAATGAATGCCAGAGTAGCAGGCAAGACACCACCTGGGAGACCAAAAACCAGATGGATAGATAGGATAAATAAAGATACGGCTGAGCTTCATGTCGCAAACTGGAAAGCAGTAGCCCAAGATAGGTAGAGGTGGGGAAGGCTGATTCAGGCGGCCAAAGATCTACAAGGTCTGTATAGCCAACCGGAAAAAAGAAAAAGAATGTATTCTAAATGTACTTTAGAGGATACGTATTAGAACATTTTGAATTTAAGTCCTAAAAGTGACATAAATGGGGATAAAACCTAAATTATATTAAATACAACTTAATTATACAATGATACCGAGTTTAATCAAAATCGTAAGGGCCGTTTTGAGAAAATTGTAAAACTGTGTTTCACGGTCGCTATAAAGTTTCAATTCCTGTTAGCCGATTTTAAGGAAAAAGTTGCTGTCACAGATAAGGCATATACCTATGTTAAATACGTAATATTAGTTTCGTACGACTTTTCATTTTTGAGCTTGAGTGTTCTCACACACCCACACACACACACACACAAACAGACATACAGATCATTTTGCGGGACTTGGTTATTTGAGCTTGTACCTTAACATGTGTATTTACGTTGCAAAATCAGATTCGAAAAATTTCACTATCGCAATATCTTCCCCTACAGTATATTACATATATAGATAAGTGAAAGTAAAAACAAGATGAAATATTTTCCCAAAGTTGAAAACAGAAATCCGTATATATAGATGTACAAATGTAAAAAATACTCTTAAAAAGCCCATTTTTTTTCTCGAAAAATTAAAACATAAAGTAGCAACAAAGTAATAGACTGTGCCGAACTAATTTTAGCAGAATAGTTGCGAAAAATACACGGTGTTTTTTGTTGTACAATTGTTTTTAATTGTACAATCTAGTAGTATTGTTATAGATTGTACAATATATAATTTTAAGTTTCATTAACCTGTATAGAGAAACAACAATTTCTACTCAATTCAGAATCAGGAGAAAATATTGTGTCATGCACGAACCGCACCGAATTTTAGTTCAGTCAAATTTTTGCACACGAAAAATGGGGTCTAGCTTCCAAGAGGTCCTGTAATTCAAATTTATTTTTTATGTTGTTAGATACGAAATAAATAGTTAAAAAAATTCTAGATTCTGCATTTGAAAGCCTTGTGTGTTCCAAAAACCATTGAAATTTCGAACTTTTTTTGTTTTACGCTAAATATTTCTTTTTTAAATCGATATATATGTATATGAAATGGTTATATTGAATCTTAAACAGCTTAAAGTTATATAACATTATCGTAGAAAACACTTTTTCTAAGCCCAACAGCAAGCGATCTATCGAGCTTTAAAAATTTCAGAAAAAACATGAATAATTTGTGTTTTAAACTAATGATCTGTTTTTCTAGGTGACGTAGTCTATAAAAACAGATAATTAAAAAAAAAAGTATGCATGTTTTTTTGCTAATTTTTAAAACCTTACCCATTTTGAAAGCTCCATAGTTCGCTTTCTGCTTGGTTTAGAAAAAAATGTTATGAACAAAAATGTCAGATAATTTTAAGCTGGTTAAGACTGAATATAACCATTTTTTTATAAATATATGTCGCTCTAATATATTTAGCATAAATCCAAAAAAGTTCGATCCAATGGTTTTGGAGCACTGTAGAGAACCCACAAGGCTTTCATTGTCAAAAACGTGGATTTTTTAAAATTCACTACATACTTGGCAATATATTTAAAAAATTGAATTACCCGAACTTTTTCATGTCAACGTGTTTAATGCGACTGGCCTATTATTTTAACTTTCAAATCTAACTAGTCAAAAATAATATTTATATCATTGAATAACATGAATCTTGCAATAGATCGATGGGTTGAAAAAAGCTTTCGTAATTTTATTAAAATAAAAATAAAGATAAAAGAAATTAAATATGTTTTATAGTTTTAAGAAAGTACACCCTATCAAGTTCCTACGTGCGTGCCTTACGGTCAAATGATTTTAAGTATTCATTCTGCATAATGCAGGTTAATGGTAAAATATTTATCGAAATATAGACAAATCGAAAATATCCACAGGAAATACCAGAGTTCTTATGAATCTTCGTTACACAAGCCTAAAAGGCATCTCCATGTAGATCTTCCGCTGGCAGTAGATGAAACTGAAATGAGAGAAATGCGTTGAGGATAATCAATAATTCATCAAAACTGTTCCAAAAATAATTATTTTTCTCACAAATGAGTAAACATGTTTTTCTGAGAGGAAAAGCCGTGCGCAGTCACTAGAAACGCTCGTTATAGAGGTAGATAAAACGGAGCGTCGAACCTCTGTCCGTATCAAACGCAGGAGAGCCATGTACGGAACACTAGCCATCATTAGCGCTGTCTTCGTGGCGGCTGCCTCAGCCCAGGCGACGGTCAGTGGATCGGCGACCGCAGGGTCTTCTGGGTCTGCCACTGGCTCAGGATGGGGAACCATGTTGGTAAGCCCCATGAGGAACGTCCTTAACAGCGGATTGTCCGCGAAGAGCAACGTAGCACAGGCCGGCACTAATATGTTCAAGGCCGGTTTGGGTAAGTTTATCAGTTGAAGAGTAAAGCATTTAAGCTTCTATGGTAGATAAAAATAAAATATTCACACGTAAACATAAATTAAGAACAGAACACAACGATCCTCATTATTGCTCTGGATTATTATTAAATCTTTATAAATATTTGTCAGAGTATATCACACATATCAATACTTATATTAAAAAAAAAAATAAGTTAGAACTATTAGAAAACATATTTTTAAACAATAATCTCGGTAATTATGTATAAGCTTTGAACTTTTGATTAAAACCATCAAGCAGAGACCATAATAAGTTTGTTACATTTTTAAAGCAATAATCACTAACATTGATCAATCAACTAAGGCTCATTCGAAAACCATCTTCCCGCCACATTAAATATTAAAATTTTTAGTTCAAATGAAATGTAAACTAAGATAACTTAAAATGTATTTTTTTTAAGATAATTGAAAGAATTAAGTGTAATTGTTCGTAAATTCACAGATATGGGAGATAGCTTGACCGCCAATATCCCCATCGTGAATGGCATCGCTAATTTGGCAACCAACGGAATGAGAGTCGGAGCAGATCTAGGAAACAGTATAGCTCAGAGCGCAATCAAGACAGTACAAACCGTGGACAACATGAAAATGGACATGCTGGAAAAAGGAATTAACACAGTAGGAAATGCTGCTCAAATGGGAGGTAGATTAGTATTAGGTGGTGCTAATATGGGATCAGCCTTCGCAGACCGTGCATCTCTAGTGGCTTCTAGATTAGCTGAAAGTGCTAGTCAGGTTGGTTCCGCAGTGGCAAATGGCGCATTGCAAGCAGGATCTAACGCGGCTGTTTCACTTCCGAGTCTAAGTGGTGTCATGCAACCTGCAGGAAGTGCCGCAGTATCTGCTTCATCATCTGCTGGAGGAAATGCCGCAGGATCTGCTTCATTATCTGCTGGAGGAAATGCCGCAGGATCTGCTTCATCAGCTACTGAAGGAAGTGCCGCAGGATCTGCTTCATTGTCTACAGGTGGAGGAGCCTCAGGATCCGTTTCTGCCACTGGTGGAAGGAATTCATTGTCCGTTGGTTCTTTGTTCGGCTGAAATATTAAAAAAAACTGATATATTAAAAAATATTATTGAACTGATAATGAACGATATTTACAATAAAAAGTGCTCTCATTGAATTTTGTTTTATAATTAATCTATTAAGATAAACCCATGAAACCGATCAATTTAAAATTCAGCATAACATTCCATTTGACAAGATATAGTTTCAATTGGTAAGATAAATTGTCATTCCAGGTATGAATTATGGTACTGGTAATCGGTTATAAATTGTTTACTAAATATGTTTATAAATCCTCAACATCCAAATGCTAATAAACATTTTTAGACAATTGTAAAGAAAAAGTATCATTTCTTTTGATGTGTTTGTGAAGCATTGTAAAATGATTACGTTTTCATTTATTTCTGGAATCAATAATAAGTCTCAGGTATAATTAAATCTGTTACAAACCCCTTATTTCACTTGACTTGAGAAGAGCACACACGCACTCTTTATACACACACACACACACACACATACATATATATATATATATATATATATATATATATATAACATTTATAATGAACCTTCATTGTGGATATGAGCTTTCGCATTTAATTTCGCCAAAAATAGCTTTAAAAAAAACAGAATAATTAAAAAACAGGCTTTAATGCTTTTATAATTAAGATGCACAAAATCCAATCCAAAAATGAACTATTTGCCGTTTATTTTGACACTGAACACGATCAAGTAAATAAAAGAATTTTTAAATTATGTTAAGAATAAGTCTATTAAAAAGTAGAGAAGTAAAATCTAAATAAAAAAGGACCCAAACTAATGCCAAATAAACTAGTGAGAGATGTGGTCGTTAGAAATATCTTAATATTGGACATTTTCCTCCTTCCCATCGTCTCATTAAATCAATGGGTGTTTAATGTTCATGTCGGATATTCCCCATACGAGCCCAGCATCACTTTTCAGGAGCAAGTGTTTTTTTATTCATTTATCCTTGGATAAAAACATAGATGATTTGTTGATATGCCGACGTATTGTTTTGTGGTAACGCTGGCGAGTCATTATTTTATTCGTCGTTTGTAACATTTCCAAGTCAATTTCAACTTTTTCGAAGACAAATTCAACCATTTCTAAGTCAAATTCAACCCCTTTTCTCTTAAATATTTCGATATATGGATCAATGGATATCATATGCTTAATTTAAAAAAAAAATCTTTATTTTAAGATTACGCCACTGTGTTTCGATTTATTTAAGTTTTCGGATTCATTCGATAAAAAGGATTTATTATAGGAACCGGAGGATTAGCTTTTTTTTTAAATAATCTCCATTTTAAGATTAAGCCAATGCGTTTAGATTTCTTTAAGTTTTCGGATTCATTTGATATAAAGGATCTATTTATACAATCAGGAGACATATTTTTAAAAAAAAAATAATCTATATAATATGAGAATTTTTTAGAATTGACAGTTTCTATTATAGTTTTACAAAATTATTCAACATTATTAACAATTTTTCAACTACAGTTTACTAAATAATACAAAAGGCCCTGAAACAAACTAAAATTCAGAAAATAGTAGTGCAATCGTATCTATCTCCATAAAAAATAACAATAAAAAATTTCAAACAATTCATAAATTCTTCGTTTTGCAAGTTATTCTATTCCGCTGTCCCTCATGCATTTCCCTAGCCCTTCAATTCAAATCCTCTGTTTACTCCCGTAATACCTGTTTCCGGTCTTCAGATTTATATACAAGGGCCCACAGAACCAATGTAATCTACATATCTTTAATTATTTGATCCTCATATCTATGGATCTCCATTCCTTTCTACATTCGTCGCTCCAATATCCATCCCATCTTTAAGTATCACCTATTCCATCACTTCCTATCGATTTAATCTCATTAAAACTGTTTCTTTAAATATGTATGTGAATTATTACTTCATTTTTGTTTATTTTTACTTGCTTTGTCTATTTTATTTAGTTTGTTTTGTGATTTCTCTTATCTATCTCTGAGGCTCCAAAGTCCACATTTCTGTCTTTATATATTAATCTAAAAGAACTTGTCCAGAATAAATAAAGTATATATTTTCTTGACTATGCTCCTGTCAAGAAAATTCCTACCACCTACAGGAATACACTTTTTTTCATTTATTTAAAAATTTTCTATTAGTTCTAAATGTCCGAAAGAACTGCTAGCTGAGCCTCTATCAGCACACTATCATTATTACATAGTAACTCACAACTAACGGAGAGAGAATCACAGCCTTCGGCTACACGTTGGCTGGACACCAGTTGTAAAAAAACTGAGACGGCTTAAAAGAGCGGCGGGATCGGGAGAGAGGCGACTAACAGAGACTGGCCCCTCATCAAATTATATGTTAAAATTATTACGCTTGATTAACCCACTAAAACTAATTGCCCCTTCAGGGACACTAATTGGAAACCAAAATAAAAGGAAATTATCAAAATAATTACTAACTTCATACCCAGATATTTCTCCATCACTCTCTTCATAATTTATTTCACAAGAAAAGGGCTCCCGGTCATATAGCATGTACCAGGCCCCCTAATATTGTACGATAATAATAATATTAGTTTACGTTAAATTATACAATATAAATGTAAAAAGAAATGGAGAAATCATCGATCTGAAAGACTGATGGGAAAATATAATAGTCCATATAATAGTATTTAATACAGAACCTGAAACATAACATATATTAATCCTATAACGGCAGATGTGATGATGCATAGCTAAGGAATCTGCTCTTGAGACTCTTGCAGGTTGGGATGCTGCATATTCTGCATTAACGGGCATAGGTCCAGCTGAGGGTGTGGTCCCTGGAACTAGGTATATAAGCACTGGAGGAGGTCATGTCTAGCATAGTCAGTTAGCAAAGCTTAGACTGCTCTAGCAATGGCTCTTAAAGTTCTGGTAAGTCGGATATTTATATTTTATCATTATTAACAGAAGAAGTCACACATTATTATAAATAACAATTATAATCTTGTTAAATAATGTCCCCACTATTTGATGCCAACAGAGTCAGATTAACCCATGTGGAATTCAACCTTGCGTACGGTATTAACAAGCGTAAATTGCATTTACTGACTGCATGAGAGCGATTATTTTTCCATTGTCCTTCCTATATCGTAATCTTCAAATACAATTCTTTGGCCATTCTTTTGATAACAGTTATTATTTTCATTTCTTCCGAACTACTACTTCTTCTAGAATTCTACAATATATCGAAGAGTATCGGGTAGATATAGTTAATAAAATTAAAAGTTATATAGTAGTTATTTTGAAAAATTAAAAGTATTTATCTCTTTTTTCTGGAGTTTACAAATGAATAAATAAAGATTTATACATACGAATAATTCATTCAATAAAACATAAACTTATACAAAAATAGAAATATTTATAGTAAAAACATATACATTAGAAATCCTTATACATTAGAAAAGAAAAAAAAAGTAGTATTTATGTAATAGACATAATATATTGTTTTTCAGGCACAATCGTCCATTATTTTATACTTAAATTTAAACATGGAAATAGTTAAATTTCAAACGTTCAATTTAAAATAATCATTTATTGCTTTTATACATTTTTTTTTTCGAAACTCCAAGCACCACTTTTCTACTCAACGTCTAACTCATTTTATAATCCTTTGTTTTATATTAGAATTTCGTTTTAAACGCAAACTTCTGAGAAGAGTTTTTTTAATTATACGGTAATTTTTTCAATTCAGAAAACCAAGTTGTCTTGTTATCTCTACAAAATACTACCATTAAAGCTCATCGCATATCCACAACAAAGCACACGTTATTTTAAATCTACCTATTTGGTTTGCAAATAAGTCCTTTCGGTTTTTCGGTTTATTTTCTATGTCACTATGATACACTTCTTATTAATCCTTAAGGTGGATTGTTTATTCTGTTTGCAATATGTCAACAACTATAACTATTAACTCTTGTAGAAACTAGTTTAGTATTGTTTTTGCTATTGCACTGTCAATATGGGAGAAAATATCATTCATTATCGGCATATGTTGTATTATTTTAAGAAAGGTAAGCGCGCTGCTGAAGCTCATAGAAAAATTTGAAGTGTTTATTATGGGGATGATGCCTTAACCGAAAGCACCTGTCCAGATTGGTTTGCCAAATTTCATTCAGGAAATTTTGACATCAATGATGCTCAACGGTCTGGTCGCCCACATGAAATTGAAACGAGCAATGTTAAGGCTATTGTTGATCAAAATCTCACCCAATCAATGCGAGAGATTGCTATGGCCCTAAATTTGTCGCACACAAGCCTAGAGAACCGTTTGCACAACGAGTTTAGCTATCTACAAGAAATCAAACAGACATTTAGAGCCACATACACTACACAAAATGACATCAACAGGGCCTTCGTAAAAAAACAACAAATGGGGATAAAAAAAAAACCTATAAAGAATTTGTGTTTATTTATTCCTTATGTAGAAATTAAATAAAAAAAAAAACATACATACGGTTTTGAAGAGAAGTAATTCAACATTCCAACGGATATAGTATCATCGAATTTGGAGAACATCCTGAAGAGTTATAAACGGTCGAAAAAGTATTGTGTTACACCAAGACAACGCTTGTCCCCACATGTTGGTTACTCACAATAAATTATTGAGCCTTGGATAGGACCTTTTGCCTCACTCTCCCTATTCACCAGACTTAGCTCCAAGTGACTACTACATATTCAGGTCTCTGCAGAACTCCATGAATGGAAATAAATTCGAAATGGAAGAGGACATCAAAAACCACTTGGATCAGTTTTTAACAACGAGCTCCATACATTTGGAGAACATGGCGTTATGCAGTTAGTGGAAAGATGAGAAAAAGCCACATTAAATAATGGTCAATATATTGTTGATTAAAATAAATTTTATGGCTATAATTAAGACCAAAAATTAAGTGGACTCTTTTATTTTTTATTTATCCACAGTGATTAAAACCGGTTTTGGGATGGGCGTCTCTCCATACCTCGTTTTATTTTACAGATGAATAATAAAATAGTAAGGCGAACGTAATGTTTTTTGTTAAATTTCAATTAATTCAATTTGTTGATACAGCATTCTCG